CCAGACCCGACTCATGTCTTGCGGTACGAGGAGATAGAAGTGGACGATAGAGTATCGTACGTGGAAAGACCAGTCAGGATCGAAGATAGAAAAGAACGGGTGCTGAGGAACAAAACGATCCCGATGGTCAAAGTTGTCTGGGAGCACCACGGAACAGAAGGTGCCACGTGGGAAAGCGAAGAAGCGATGAGACGTCAACACCCCCAGTTGTTTGAGTAGATAAGGATAGATTGCAAATTTCGAGGACGAAATTTTTGTAAGGGGGGAAGATTGTAACAGCCCGAATTTCGATGTAATTTCCGGGATCAATGAAACTGATATTATTTCGCATTTCATTTTAGTAAGTCTCACCCAGAGCTGATCACTCTCGGGATACTAACCAATAGGGTATGGCTAACTAGAAGATGGTACGTGGACCGGGGACCCTATCGCGAAAGGGATATCGATCACGAGAGACGCTGAGGAAATATTTTGGGCCAACGTGAGCCGATCTTAGGAAAGGTAACGGATTTGGTTTGGCCAAGGCCAACGATGTACGATTGGGACGCAGGTGATTCTGCAAGACCAAAAGTGCACGTGGTCAACCAGTCCGGAACTTGAACCTAATGATTGTGACCTCTGGAACTAATGATAATTTCTCATTCTCTCAATGATCGAGACCGTCACGATACGAATTGCCTTAGGTCGATACGCGTAACCTCTAAACAGCCACCCGTTAGTGAGAGACTCTGAAATTGAAAGTTTAGCGGGTTTTGTTCACGGAATTGGGCCCGGATTTCGGTATCGATTTTCAAAGGCTTAAGAGACTATTTTTGGGAATCTGACGTCATATTACGCTAGCCACTCACATGTGGAGTTAGTACGAGTAAAAATTGGAATTTCGGTCCGGGGGTGAAAAATTACGATTTTGCCCCCGGGATGCCAGCGTCGCTTTCGAGGCCAAATGAGGTTATTTTTCGTGGCCGATGCCATTTTTGGATGGCCACGCTTACCAGGAGTCATTTTGGACAAAAACTGGAATTTCGACAAAAATTGGAAAAATAATATTATTTTATTCCCGAAACTTTGACGTGGATTTTCGAGGGCTTGCGCGATGAATTTCGCGATTCCGACGCCATATTATGTTGGCCACGCATATATGGAACGCGTATGTGCGAAAATTGGAATTTCGGTTCGGGATTGGAAAATTACGAAAATGCCCCTAGGCCATTTTTGATTAATTCCGAAAATTGGATTTAATTTTGGGATTAACCAAGGTGAGTTAAGGTTAAACCAGGTCTGGTCAACCATGGTTAGGGGCAAAAGACCATTTCACCCCTAAATTATTGGATTAGGGCAAATCCTAGCCTTTAGATCAAGGGCAAAATTGTCCATTGGCTTGATTTTTGACACATGGCACCCTAGGCCCTAGTTTTTGACTAAGATAAGCATTTTTTTCTCTCTCCTCTCTCACTCCCACGACCAGACCAGCCTTCAGAAAATTTTCTCTCCATTTTCCCCTCACTTTCTCTCATTTTCTCTCAAATTTTCACTCTCATTTTCTCTCTCGCCGGAGCTTCGCCGGAGCACGCCGCCGACCGCCGTGCCTCGCCGTCGACCCCCTTGGTCCCCCGCTTCAGCTCAGCCTCGGTTCCGTCCATTTCTCTCTCTCCTTTTTCTCTCTCTTTTTCTCATTTTCCATTCTGTGAACAGTACCGCCGGAGCTTCGCCGGAGCTCCGATCGCCGTTCCGTCGACACCCGGCCGCTCAGCACGTCCATACGTCGCCGTTCAGCCCGTCCGTACAGTGACCGTACAGTACTGTTCACGTCCGTACGGTCACTGTTCATCCAGACCCGTACGGCCGTCGCCGCCGTGACCGGCGCCTCGCCGGCCACCGTTCCCAGCCGTCGTACAGTGTGTCCGTACGGGGGGTACTGTTCACGCGTCCGTACGGAATCACTGTTCACCAGTCCGTACACCGTGCCGCCGTCGCCGGGAATTCCGCCGCCGGTTTCGCTGTTCATCAGTGATCGGCCGCCATTCCCCATCGTCGTGACCCTTGTTTTGGTGAGTAAAATTCCTAAACCCGGATTAGGACTGATGTTGCGTTTTTCTGGACTGGTTTAGGTGTTATCGGTGCATTTTGGACTGGCTTAGATAATAGCAGTGTGTATTTGAGACTGGGTTGAGGACCGATTAGTAGAATTTATTATCGGAAAAATTTTGTGGATTAATGAGAATCGTTGGGGAGGATAATAGGGTTTAATGACCAATTTAGGAGCTCGTTGGTGAAATTACCGGGTGTACCCGGGTTGACTGATTGTACGTCAACTGTGCTTAATTGTGATTGATTTCGTACTGCTATGTCGTATGTTGTATGGCTGATTTTGTGGAGTGCGATTGGCCATAGTTTGGTTTACAATGAATTGTTGATTTGTGAATCGCACGTTAGGCCACACGGTATTAATTGGGCCAATTAAGCACGTGTTGTGACATTGGGTGTCTGAATTATATTGGTGCTCGTGGTGCATTGCATTGTATAACATGGACACGCATTGCGTATGCCAAGAGTGAGGCATGTGATGAAATTGCGCGAGCATGCGTGTCTGCCATGAGCATGTGATCACCTAAAATACCCTGAAGCGTTATACGCTGGGTTCAGATAATAATGAGCTGTGTGATCATCTAAGGACCTTCGGGTCGATACCGTCCTCATGCACTTTGAAGCAGGACGATGCCCGGTACGTCCGGAAGGCGACCATCCTCATGCACTTTGAAGCGAGGCTGCGGTTCGCAAGGAGAACAGTGTTGCGCCTCATGCACTTTGAAGCGAGGCTAGAGACACTTGGGCCGAGATCGGTTCTTCGCGCCTCATGCACTTTGAAGCGAGGCTAGACGCACCGGGCCGTGAAAAATTGATGACTCGAGTCGTAATAATAATTAATTGGGCAAGTGTGCCAGTGTGGGCCAGTGGGCCAAAGAAATGTGCATGACATGTCAATGACATTTGCATGCATAAACATGCATTGAAAAGCATGCGAGTGTGTGAGACTCGGTGTATGAGCATGTGATTGGCGTACGTGTGATAATGTGTGCCACGTATGTCTCGTGATTATTACATATTGAACTGTCTAACCTGCAGGGTCAGAGAATTGTATGATTATGGTTGTGTTATGATTTTAAATGTTTGTTTCCGGTCAGGAGATTGCATGCTAGCCTAGCCTAGGTTTAGGGGTTGAACTCATTGAGATTCGTCTCACGGTTGTGTAAACCGAAACATTTCAGACCCCCAGCCGTAGAATGTCGAGGGCATCACCTCTTTTTGGGAATACCGCCTTTTATCCAGCAGTCGTCGAGCATGCACCTCGGTGGGAATGGAGCAGAACGTAGAAGTGACTGTTTGGGTTATTCCCAGCTGTTGGTGTTTCCTTTTTGGTTGTCGTGAACACTGTAAAAAGAGTTTTAAAATAGTAATATAAGTATGTACATATTTTCTGCGTTGAATCTTGTTTATTGGACGGCTATCCTTGGCTCATATTGTAATTGTCTGGGTTTGTTTATTTTATACTTCCGCTTGTGCTTGATCTCTGTATGGGCGTGGGTCGGCGACTCTTCCTGGGACGTCGCAATTTATCGACCGAAGGTGGGATGCTCGCGCTTCGTGGGGTACGGGGCGTGACACTCTTTGAATACACCAGAATATTATCTATAAAGACAATGACGAATTGATCCAAAAATTCTTTGAATACTCTATTCATTAAGTCCATGAAAGCGGCAGGGGCATTAGTCAGCCAAACGGCATTACCGTGAACTCGTAGTGTCCATACCTCGTCCTGAATGTCGTCTTCGGGATATCCTCCTTTTGGATTCTTAACTGATGATACCCCGTCCTCAGGTCGATCTTAGAAAATACCGAGGCTCCTTGTAACTGATCAAACAGATCGTCAATCCTTGGAAGAGGGTACTTATTCTTAATTGTCACCTAATTCAGCTGGCGGTAATCAATACACAGCCTCAGAGACCCATCTTTCTTCCTTACGAACAAAACTGGCACTCTCCATGGAGACGCACTCGGTCGAATAAAACCCTTATCCAACAGTTTTTGCATCTGAACCTTTAATTCTTTCAATTCCGACAACGACATCCTATAAGGTGGCTTCGAGATTGGCTCAGTCCCAAGGGCCAACTCGATAACAAACTCTACTTCTCTTTCTGGTGGCAATCCCGGTAATTCCTGAGGGAAAACATCGGGAAAGTTGCACACCACTGCTATTTCCTCTAGCCGCACTTTTTCTGCTGTTAAATCCACAACACTTGCTAGGTAACCTTGACACCCCTCATCTAACAATTTGGTTACTTCTACTGACGAAACTCAAGGGATCGAGGTTCCTCCTCGACTCCCTACAAACTCAAACTAGGGTGTCCAACCGGACTAAACTGAATCACCCTGCTGCTGCAATCCATTACAGCATTCTGTTTGACTAATCAATCCATGCCCACAATCACATCAAAATCATACATAGTCAAAGCAGCCAAATCTATCCTGCTTTCTACACCATCAATTACTATTTTATAGTCTGGGCATCCTAACGATATGCATATCTTATCCATCAACGGTGTAGTCACACACAATTGCACTTCTAATAAAACGGGTTTCAATCCAGCCAATTCAATAAACTGAGCAGACACAAACGAGTGCGACGCCCCCGGATCAAATAAAGCATATGCAATATAATTACACAGGGAAACCATACCTGTGATTATGCCTGGCGCATTCTCAGCTTCCTTTCGCGCCATGGCGTACACACGTCCTTGTGCCGGCGGCCTGTTCTGATTAGCCGGCGGGCTACATTAGTCGGATTTCCAATCCGAGGTGTCTGCGATGATGGGGGTGGTCGAACCTGCTGATTCGGGCAATTCCTTATGTGATGTCCCATTCCACCACACCCAAAGCATGCCCCAGTTACACTTGGGCATGGACCACTCCCGTGATGTCTCCCACAACGTCTACAGGCCGAATTAGCTTGATGTGACGATTTCCCAATTCCTCCTTGCCAAAGGAACGAAACGTCGGTTTCCCATCATTGGCCTTTTTCCTTGCTGACGATTGTCCCTGGCTGAGGTATACCGTGATCTAGACGCGGCAGCTCTATCCATCATATCCTGCTCGATAGCTTGAGCCCTCTCATATAATTCCTCGTAAGTTCTCAAATTCACCGGTATCAATTGGCTGCGGATATCGACCCTTAATCCATCTCGAAACCTTCGCGCCTTGTCCTCAGGATGGTCTACCATTCTCGGTGCAAATTTAGACGGCCTGGCAAATTCTACCTCATATTGATCCACAGTCATTTGGTTCTATTACAGTCTAAGGAAAACCGTCATCTTCCTTTTTCGAGCACTTACCGAGAAATACTTCTCATTAAAAGCCTGAACGAAGGTCGTCCAATTCTGATCCACGCCCGTAGGAAACACTCGGCCCTGCGTGGCCTTCCACCAATCATTCGCAGCACCCTGAAGCTGGTACACTGCCAGCGTCACTTTCTCTGCTTCAGTACACCCCAATAAAGCAAAAGCTTTTTCTAACTCCTCAACCCATTTAGAAGCAGCCTCTGGATCCCCTACTCCTTCAAACTTTGATGGTTTCAGCTTCAGAAATTATTCTACTAACTGATGCATCTGTCGATTCCCATTTCCGTTACCCGCATTTTCATTAACTAAAGCAGCTGTGGCCTCAACAACTTGGGCAGTCGCGTTAGCTCGTTCTTGAGCTTGCCTATCCATCATATTCCCAATTCCTTCTAACACCCTGAGAACTCCTTCCATACGCGGATTTTCTGCGATCGGAATCTAAGAGCTTGACGAGCCTCCCACTCCTGCACCTCTCCTACTCATTCTCACGGGCTCATGCTACCCTCCTACCTGCTATAATTCCATACAGGGATTAGAGACCTAGGCCTACTATACTAGTCCAAGCCCTAGGCACAAAACTCGACAAACAACACTCAACAGCCAACAACCAACCAATCCTCAAATCAATCAAACAACATCAAACCAACATCACTAAGCAACCATCAGGGTTCTCGTACTCACCTCAAGTCCTGACGTACCTTCGTCTCAATCAATATTACAACCATAATAAACCACTCAGCAACTACAGGCGCGTACTCGCAGGACAACCACAGGCCACACCAAAAACGCCATCGGTCGCTAAAAATTGTCACTTTCAAAATTCTCGATTTCCGGGCCCGGATTCCAAGAAATGACTGAAATCGACAATCACGACTTTAGCTTATCTCTTACTAACGGGTGGTTCATTTGGATTACGTGCTCTCGACCCGTGACCGACACTAAGTCAAGTCACGTTTAAGTTTGCTCGAACCAAGGCGACCTCGATTGTCATGTAATTGCGAGAGTCTGTCACTAGTTCCCTTCTGACACGATCGATCGAATAGATCGGTCTCTGTTGGCCCAAAACATTCTCTCGTCAATCCTTATGGTCAAAGGTCGAACCAAGGTCGAGTTCTTTGGTCGGGCGAACTAAATCCCGTGATGGCCTTACCCCTAAGGTTAGCATCCCGAGAATGCGCGGTTCCGGGCGAGATCTCACTATAAGTGCATTGGCCAAAATATTCATTTCATAAATCCCGGGAAAAGGATCGAAAATTCAGAATGTTACATATGCCTTCTATCTACCTCTCGGATATTATTCTGATGAATGAAATCTTTCTTTTAACAAAAATAAAAAATCTGCCAATTAGACTTGAACTTATTCTCCAATCAATTTTACATTAATTGTTGGGTATGACTTAGTTCTCCTAAGATAATTCCTCATCGCAAACCCAAAACTTGAAAATGTCCTCACAAAATTTAAAAAAAAAAAAACAGTAGTCGTGATAAACTCACTTCACGCGGATCCATAGACTTTCCAATAAGAGATGTAACGAAATTTCTTTTTTTCATAAACTCAAATTATCAGAAAATTGACCTGACAGTATATATGTAGCCCCATGTCTTAAATGTCTCGCTCATTCATTATCCGGTGTTACACCTAAAACCTAGGATGCCTACGCAACAATACTAAGCATAATGACATAGAGTTGGCTAGAGGAAGAAAATGCCCCACATATACTATCTTCATGCCCCACATAGGCAAGAATTATATAGTGAAGCCCCACAGGATTTGACTTTCCACATAATTTGATATGTAACTATAAGATCGACTATGTTTGTTCTGTTGGGGCCAGTCAGTCTCGTCCAAGAAACTTTCACTTCCTACGGAAAGACCTCAATGAGATAAAACTTCATCTTGAGCAAAGATTTTTTTTTTTCTCTCTGTGTTTAGAGATATCCATTTTCATAGAGAAACAAAAATCCCGATACAGCGGCATCTTGATGCTCCAGGAACATGAAACACAAATTCTAATGAATCAAAAAAAGTTCAAACAAAATAAATATAAGAGGAAGTGTCAAAATTTTAGATCAATGACTTGTATGTTGGTACCATATAAGATAACTGTTTTTTTCCGTGTCGCCACGTAGGATCTTTAGACAAGGAAAGTTGACAATATAACTCAAGTGGTCGGTTTTTAAAAGTCATGATGCTTAAATGATTGCTAGGGAAATTATGGCCTCAGAGCGAGTGTCGTGCGGATATTATGATACTATTAGTATCAATATTTTAAATTAAAGGGGTAATGATACAAATAGTCCCTAAACTTTGGCCCGATGTGCAATGTGGTCTTTGAATTTTTAATTTGTTCGATGTGGTCCCCGAACTTTAACCGAATATGCAATGTAGTCTTTGAACTTTTAATTTATTCAATGTCATCCCTGAACTTTTGGTACATGTTCAATTTAGTTTCTGAACTATATGAAAATGTTCAATGTAGTCATTCTGTAGTCATTCTATTAATTCAAATTCACGGCCAGGGACTACATTGAATATGTACTAAAAGTTCAGGGATCAAATTGAACAAATTAAAAGTTCAATGACCACATTTCACATTGGGCTAAAGTTTAGGGATCACATTAAATAACTAAAAAATTTAGGGACCGCATTGCATATTGAGTTAAAGTTCAAAAACTGTTTGTGTCATTATCCCTAAATTAAACTATCTATCTTGATCAGCGCATGGATGAGGAAAGTCCTTTGAAGGAAGTTTTATGATGGTTGGGCTTGAAAAGGTTGAGAATCTTTGTCGAGGCCAAATTTTTTCAGAACCATCATTGACTTTGGGTCTGGTCAAACTACAACACCAATTGGGCCAATTAGCCCAAACTTATGACACAAATGAAACATAATTTCTAGGACATACGGTTATATACAATTTGGGTCCTTCCTAACTCTCAAAAGATTATATTTTCAATTCATGATTAGAGAACTCGATTGGTGACTAATCACAAAAATGATCAGAGGATCCAAAAAAAGTGAAGAAAAACAGGGCTTACATCTTAACATGATACCAAAGATTAGTGCTTCAGTTGTTTTGGACTATCATGTCACCATTTGCCTCGAGCTGTCTATTTAATATATATATTTTCATATTTTGTGTTTTATTTCATGTATATGTCCGTTGACACACTAAGATGATTGTAAAACAAAAAACAAAAACATGCACAATATAAAATGTGAACTTGTTTGATAATAACTCTGTTAGGAGTAAATTTAACTTATACTTTTAATATTAGGTTTTTCAGATTTGATATTAATTCATTGTTAATGTATTATAGATATATTCAAATTCATCTTAACTCGTGCAGAATTTTTTTTATTATCTTTCTAGAAACAAATTTATTAGCTTTAATGAGGAAGCTCATAAGTACTTTTTTATTTTTTATTTTTGAAAGATGAAACTTACAAGTTATCATTCTTTGGGTAAATATTTAATAGAATTCATTTTGGGATTAAAAAAAATTGGAAAATCGAATTCTGCAAACAGAAAAGAGACAAAAGCTCACGGTATGAACAGCCCAAAATTGGCATCTGTTTTTTTTTTTTTTGGTGTCCAAAAACCTCAAGATCTTAAATGTGTTTCTGTCAAAGTATTTAAATGCATTTATCTGACAGCTTCAAATTTTAAAATAATTGATTTTGATCTCACGAAACATTCACAGGTTGCAACTGTGTTTACACTTTCAATCATGATGACATGGGCGGTCCCTGAGCTTCTTTTCAATTTTTCAGTGTGATTCCCAAACATTTTTGTTTTGTTTTGTGCTAATCTTTAAACTTTAAAAAATACAATAAATACAGTCATTTCATAAAAAAATTCTTACACAGTTAGCTAACTTTAGTATAATTACTATGAACTTCATGTTAGATCTCTCTCTCTCTCTCTCTCTCTCTCTCACTGGGCGCAAAAAGGAAGGGGAAAAAAAAAGGAAAAGAATATTTGCTATTAGGGTGATGTCTAACGTGGCAGTCCACATTATTATTTTCGATTGAAATAACACTAACGTGATACTCCACAAAAAAAAAATGCACTTGACGTGGAGATATACTTGACGAAAGGACTATATTGAGCGGATTTTTGAAAATTAAAGTATTAGAGGAACAAAAAAAGTTCAAGAACCGTATTGACCATTGAAGAAAAGTTCAAAGATCATCCATGTCACTATTTCACGGTTTTATGATAAGCACTGCTTTGCAAAAGAATTTGAAAGACTAAAAAGGAAAAGCTTGAAACGTTGCAAAGAATGACAATAGAAACGGCAATAGGAGAAGTAGCCTAAAAATGTACATATGATATGGTTAATGTGTCTTCAAAGCATCAGATAAGAATCTCGTGATCATAAATCTTCCAGGTCCATGCACGTGTAAGCAAACTTGAGCATTCAAATGCCCATTCATCTTCTTCAACATTACAAGTTCAGAATTTTAAACAAACTCAAGTAGTTCCATTATCATAAGATAAGCTGACCAAGAGATCATGCATTCAAATAAGGTGGATAAAGGCACTGATTGAGGGAAGAAAAATCTGGAGATGTAAATCAAAATCACAAGATGATTCTTGGAGATGCTAGAATCAAGTGATTGGCGACTCTTGTGATATAATGATCTCTTCATTTATTATTTTTCATTGTTGTATTGTTTCCTTACGATGTGTAACATTTGTAATATCTTTATATATAATGAAAATCATCTTAACAATTGTACAATGAGATCAAGAATCAAAACACCTTTGTTCTTTTAGTGGACTGTCATAATGAATACATCCACCATGTGTCTGCATCTACAAGGTCAAGCATTTGAGATGAGTTCACAATATTTCAACCGAATTCTTCAATACCCAAGAGAGAGAGAGAGAGAGAGAGAGAGAGAGAGAGAGAGAGAGAGAGAGAGAGAGAGAGAGAGAGAGAGAGAGAGAGAGAGAGAGAGAGAGAGAGAGAGAGAGAGAGAGAGAGAGAGAGAGAGAGAGAGCCCCGAATCCTAGATTACAATACACAGAAATGTGACGCAAGGAAGCAACAACAGGTTTACGTGACCATGTACACAAACATATGGGATAGTAGGTCACCCTTTTGTATGGATCGATGATGTTATTTTTTTGAGAAGTCGTGCTCGAGCCTGAAGTTCTAACATCATATGTTACAGGGGTTTCGTGCACATTTGTGATAAGCAACCATTCAATTCATGTTGGAACATTCAATTAATTTGATTTCTCTTTCCGAGAAAATGGTGACATGAAACCTTTCTGAAGTTAAAAGGAGGATACATAATGGCTTTCCTAACCCAATTGGCCAGACCAATGTTTTTTTAGGGCGACTATGGTCTTATTAAAAGTGTAAGCGTAGAATAAGATTGAAGCCAATGTTTCTGTAGTGGGAACTTGTTAAAGCTGAAGTGCACCCAAAGTTGGTGCATCGATCAAGTCTTGCACACGAAAGCGAGTTATTTAAGGTGTAGCCAATTGTCATTCGATGCCCAATCATTTGGTCATCAAAAAGGTTATCCACTTGTAGTTGACACCCTAATGTTTGGTCATTCATGATGAGATCAAAGCTACTTTTGCATTGTTTGTGAGATTGGGCCAAGTGCTTTTGCTTGTATTACTAGACCAATAAATTGACCGTTCAATAGCACTCGGTCATGAGAAAATTGCCGTACACTGTTGATGTGGTGAAACGATAACTTATTGACCTCAATTCGACGGTGAAGAGTACATATTTGGTAGATAGTCGCACCTACTAAGTGAAGCCCTCTTTATATATAATTAGCAAAAAACTCTTGCTTCACTTGTCACCTTACCCCTGTTTGTCCACCAGCCTTGGAAGCCGAACAGCCATAGTAGAAGATTATCAAACAGCAAACGGAATGGACCAGAACAGCCTCCAGTTGCTAGATAGTCGATGGGAGCCTTGCTGGCTATAACAAACTCTTAAATCGATATCTTGGTAGTCAATCGACATCCATGAAATCTACAACTAGTCCGTTGAATCGACAACTTCCCTATATAATTGACTCTTCATTCTTGATCCCATCGAACCAAATTGTAGCCGAAATTAGTCTTTACTAGCAAAAGTAAGGATTGTGCTGGATCAATCGACGAGGTCTAAGTTGAATTGGATAGTTGATCGATAAAATCCAATGCCTCCACATCACCTTTGGCCTATATAATTGGCACTGCCAAGAATAGTGTGCATGTAGCTTGCAGGATTCAAATGGATGATCTCCAGTTGCTAAATCGGAAATTTCCTTGACGCTAAAACCAACTGCGCCAACACTTAACCATTGATTAAGAAAAAGAAAGTTTATCTTGGTCGGAACTCATACCCATGTTCATGCTTCAAGAGTTATAACTTGGTGTTAAGAATTCTACCGTTGACTAAAACCTTAAAAACCGAAAAGAAAGTATATCAAGTCATATAAAACTGTAACCCTAAATGCTTTGCGCTCCAACTTCAATCAAGACAACATCTTTTGCAATATTGATAATGCCGTGCGCACTTTTACTAGTTATATAGAAAGTAGACTCAAAAGGATTTCTACCTCAAATTTTTGTCCAAGAATTCTATGAAATGCCCAATTAATTTTCTGAAATTTATATATATCACAGAAATAAGGTATAACAAAAGGAAAGAATTGTAATCCAAACTAGTCAAGATAATTGTTAAATAATCTCATAAATATCTCACTTTCCAAAATTGAATTTAATTTTCTCACCTCTTACAATCGTTTACAACTACTTCTTTGAGAAACTACATCTCTGAACATTCATGTCACTCCGCACACATTTAGCCTTTTCGACACGGATCCACTTGCGCAATTTTGCTAATATTCAATTGCTTCATTTTATTTGATCATTCCGCAAAGCTTGAGCATGAGCCTTTCAATATCCAAAAAATTTTGAACAATTGAGCAAATTAATAGAAAGAGATATATCAGAACTACCACAGTGGGACACTAGACATCGACACAACCAAGAAGTCGCTTTAACACACTAGCGTGCATAGTACTAGGCTATTAGCTAGGAATTGTCTGAGAGTGGTCGCCCCATCTTTATAATAGGCTAGAGATAAGACTTTGTATGAATGGTATTTTAAGAAATAATGCAGACTTTGTACGAGACTCTTGACAAAAGCTTGCCGGTAGGATTCAACAAGCATAGGAAGAGATAAGATCAACAGCCAGATGAATCTCTTGCCAATCAATGGCCATGCTATAACAAGAACTTATTACCCACCCTCTTCTCTACCCTTGGCCTCACTTATGACCCAAAATGCAAGCTAATACCTAAATCGAGAGGCCTCACAAAACATCTTTTCACCTTTGTGCAAGTCTCTAAATAGAGCTCCCAAATGTTATTTCTTTAGCCAATAAATTGCAATTTTTTTTGTTTTGCTTCAATATTTGAGGATAATAATTAGAATGGCTCAAATATATTCAATCAGTTTGCAAAACATGAAGCATTATTTTCGTATGAAAATGAATTAGATTTCGCTTCAGACAGCTATTGAAAGATATGTTATGCTAGATTGGTCGCTTTTGATAAGTGCGGGGAGATCACATAAATATAAGACTCGTTAAAGCCTCATAGGCAAGCGATGTTGGATATGTTAAAGGGTTATTTGTAGTTTCACAAAACACTTGATTTAGTTATTTAAATTAAACACCAATAGTTTCGGAAATTTTTTTCGTATTACAATAATCCAAAACTACATTTTTCAATTCAATTACCGATGAATTATCTTTCCTAAATTTATATTGTATATAAAGTCAACTTTAGAATTTTGAGATCTATGCGCTAAATTACTTTGATAGTCTCAAATCCAACATTTAAGTCTAATTTAGTGAAGTAATTGACAGTAATGGTGACTTTTGCAATATTACGAATACAACTCCATAATTTTTGGACAATTGAGGTTGAGAAAAGAATAGGAGATAGATCAAATACATCATTCAAAGGGTTAAAAAGGAGTATGCAATTATTACCGAAGCATACAGTCGATCCTAGTTTCTTAAACATCTTGAATGGCCATAGTATTTATGAAACGAAGCGAAATGAATTGAATTAAAACACTGAACCAATAGAAGAAACATATTTGTTAACTAAAGTAGAGTTTCAAATATGGGTTTTGACTCTAACGCTCTGCAAAGAGGCAGAGTAAAAGTCTGAGAGTGAGTTGAGAGTTAGAGTAGGACAAAAAAAAAAAAAAAACTAAAGTAGAGTTTATAAGCCAATTATGACAAAAGAGAACTTGTTCATTTCATGTGCTTTATCCTTAAAAACAAGTTTATTACTGCCTATGATGCCGTCCAACTTGGTGGAGGCAAGAAGTTGGTGGTCTAGAGATCAATCTATTTCCATGTGTCAATCAAATTTGTGATTGAATCAGACCTGAAGAAACCCTCGCATGCCAGCTCCTTTCTAGCTCTGCTACTGCACAAGCCTCGACCTCAACCCCGCCTCCAACTCCATGTCTTTGGTTACCACCACTGTCGAGTGTCGAGTGGGCGGGGATACTGTTCCCGCATGCTGTTCCCCTGTATCCTCATCGCGCCTAAGTTTTCGAGAACGTGTGGACGCAGCTGTCCTCTCCTGAATTCTCTCGTTGCTTAGCGTACGAGGCTCGTTCTGATAAAGTGAGAGAAATAACACGAAAGAAAGAACACAAGCCCTTTCACTTCTTTCTTTGCTTAGCCGTTGAATTCAATATCATTAGGAAGATTCACATGTCAGACTCCTAGAGTGCATTGTATACGCTCATTTCTTGTTTCTCGTTACTTTCGTACTGTTAAGGATTATTTAAAAAATGATTCCCACGATTCATAGAACATTATATGTCATGACATATTTGTCACACAACTTTTGTTCATTTTAATATATCCAGTTGGACCCATATTCACTCAAAAGGTTCAGCCAATGAGTTATGGGTTAATTAGGATATATTAACTGCTCCACACCACATCAATTATCCGATGTAGGATTTTTCTAACATAACTCACACGTGTATCTCAACAGAATCATTATAACCCAATTTCACTCTTAATGCGGCTAAAGTATTACTTACATTGCTAGGAATTGAAGAGAAATGCTAGACGAGTGTACAAAAAGTCACTTCGCTAAATAAAGCGCTAGGCTCTGTTGGATCTTTGAATGTGTACATATACTCAACTAACCTGGTCTATTGGGTCTATTTGTTGTCGAGAAATTAAAAGCCCTCAATCAACCAGAAGTCATGCGGGTGTTGTCGAGGTCTCTAATAACCACTCAAAAGTTGAATTGGCACCTCTCGCACATGCATCATTTTTCCTCTCATGAATGATCCAAACCAACCTTCCTTCCACCTCCCCCTATCTCTATTTGCCTCACGAACACTCCAAAATGTGTAACAAGTAATGAACTTTGCCTTCATGGACCAACCTCTTTTTGCCTATGATAAGACCTTTCAGTTTAGACAATCGACTCAGTCGTACTCCCTTTTTCGTGCTCACTTCCGAGGAACGCTCAAATTGACTAAGCAAGAGCTGAACAAAAGCCACACGGCCAGATGTATCTATGTTTTTTTTTTTTTGGTAAGGAACCAGATGTATCTATGTTCATATTCAGCATTTTTTATTTTTTATTTTGATGATTGCCCAGATTGAACCACCACGTACACATGTTTAGTCAAGCAAGTAATTAGTTGCATCCCTCAATATATGCTTATGAGCTTCACAACCATGGAGATACCACACATTCATTCATCTCTCTCCCTCTCTCTCTCTCTCACACGCGCACACAATTCTTGCATTAACGAGTAAAAAGAAATGGAGAGAAAACCTTTGCCATTGAAAATTCAGCCTCCGGCTTACGGAAATCTCGTCACGATCCTTAGTCTTGATGGCGGAGGAGTCCGAGGGATCATTCCAGGGGTCATTCTCGGTTACCTTGAAGCCCAACTTCAGGTAATAACATGAACAAACCACACAAACAAAGTGGACACAAGAGTTACATTCTTGTGCTACGATGAGGGTTCCAGTCTTAGAAGCTTTTGAGAAGGCTTTCTTTTTCTGTTTCTTTTCTTCGTCGTTTTTTCCTGTGATGGAGGAAGGAAGCTATGCCAAACATTGTGCTCTTTCGCTCTCAACTTTCTTCCATAATTTGATTATGGTGGTCGATGAGTCATGCAAGTCTCTTGACTTATCTGTTTCCTTTTATAGTCTTACAACAAGGGGCATCGCCGGTGTCCAAACCATCTCTTGATTAAATACTAATCCGGAATTTAATGAGTATTTTGGGTGAAGGAGCTGGATGGTGAAGATGCGAGGCTTGCAGATTATTTCGATGTAATAGCAGGAACAAGCACAGGAGGTCTCATCACGGCCATGTTGTCAGCACCTGATGCTAACAAACGCCCTCTCTTCGCTGCGAAAGACATAGTCCCATTTTACTTAGAGAATTGTCCTAAAATCTTCCCTCAAGGATGGTAATCGATTATCGACATACCTCTCATGTTGCAAAACTTAAATTGTCGAACTTCTTTTTATCATTCTTATGCTCACTGATAAATTTGAAAACAACTGACTTGAGTCTTTTCATTTCTTTTCTGCTTGGTCCCGCTGCTCCTTCGATACAAAAAAGTGGGTGTCTGGGTTCGGTCGTGAGCACGCTGAGATCTCTGACGGGACCCAAGTACAATGGAGTGTATCTTCACAAATTGATAAGGAAGTTACTTGGAACAATGAGGCTGCACGATAGCCTTACCGGCTTGGTTATCCCGACCTTCGATATCAAAAAGCTTCAGCCAGTTTTATTTTCTTCATATGAGGTGAGTTCCAGTATGTATTTTGGACAGAGCGCGCTTGTTGTTTGTGTATAAGTCACATGAGTTATGTTTTTCTCCATTTCAAGGTGAAGAGGGTTGGAACAAACTTCCTTTAACTAATCTTTTGACTGACGAGAGTTGCAAACATAGACGTCGACCATATTTATGTTTAGTTAAATTTGCATGTGAATGGACGAATAAGAGAAAACTTCTTTTAATTAAGGATGGAGGAAAATATATAGCCCAACTCCTGTTTATGTAAAAATCTATACGCAATTTCATAAATTTTTTTGTTGGACTGACACATTAGCATAAATGTGTCATGACCAATTGAGGGAGACATGATCCAATCATATCAGATTACTTGGACCATTGCAAATTGTTGAATTTGATCTATATTAATCCCCTATTCATATTGGAACTACCCCGGGTGAGAGCACGCATGTCGTGAAAATATTCAATTAATTATAGCCTTGTGTAGAAGTTTTGGAGGGTGAAAGGTTGGGGTGAATTACCAAAAAAGTCATAAATTTATTCCAATTATGTCAATTCAGTCATAAACTTTTTCACGTTTTGCCAATTGTGTCCATTCAATCAATTTTGGCCGGACATCGTTTACATGGATGCCGAGCGTCCTACGTGACATGGCAGACACTAAGTGGACACTTTTAAATAATATTTTAATATTTTTGAATTTTTCTATTTTTTCTTTCTTTCTTTCCTTTCTTTTTTCTTCCCAACTCCCAACTGTAGCCCGGCAAGGGTTGCTAGTCACCGCGATGACCTTGCCTGATCTGAGCAAGTGAGGCCGCCCTCGCCTAGTGCTGGCGAGGACGTCTCGGCCCTTGTCTTTGGTTGGTGAGGGTGGGTCGGCCGACCTTTCCTCGTCAGCCCATAGTTAGGAGTTGGTAAAAATAAAAGAAAAAAGAAAAAAAAGAAAAAAAAAAGAAAAGAAAATATTAAAAAATATTATTAAAAAATGTTCGCGTTGGCGCTGGTTGTGCCAAGTAGGACGGTCGGAGCCTACGCCAGCGATTTCGGCCAAAATTGACCGAATGGACTGAATTGACATATATACAAAAGGTTTAGGACTCAATTAACAGAAAAAAAAATTTATGATTAAATTGTAATATGTTTAAGACTTTTTTGGTATTTTTTTCCATTGCGATGGAATCATACTTTTCTTGCAGCTTCTGATTTCCAATTGAAAAAGGGATTACTGATAGTGTCAGTTTGACAAAGACAATTCTCATTAATTATCTAGTTCTATTGAAAAGAAACTATCACACGTACAGAAATCAACCGATCCAAGATAATGTATCATATTTGACGTTTTTTCAATGGATTTTTACCTCGGGTAGGTGGCAAAACATTCATTCTTGGACGCTCAACTATCGGACATATGCATTGGCACATCGGCTGCTCCGACTTACTTCCCCGCCCATTATTTCAAGACGGAAGATAAAGATGGACAAGCCCATGAATTCAACCTCATCGATGGTGGTATGGTCGCCAACAACCCGGTATGTATGTCTAACATAGATATAAGATTATAAAGTTAATATATCGGTTTTGATATCGAAGATAGCCCATTGTTTAAGTTAGAATAGTTGGAATCTTGCGGAGTGACTTTATCCTTTTTCTATTACGATGAGGAAGTTCATTCTAAGTAAGGAAACCTTGGCCTACGAAATACCCGTTAATGTCATGGGCTAGGTTGAAAAACATGAACCAAGACACAAGTGAACCGCCCAAGCGTGAATCTTTTATTCTTGATCGTATGAAGAACAAAAAAATTGTGCCGAACCTACACAAGTATGCCCAATCCTTAACCATTAAACCAATCTCATGTTGCAATATTCGAGGGCTTTATAGATCGGAAATTCGGCGTCGATGTGAAATAAGCTGGATACTGTCCTATCCAGTGTGATTTTTTTTTTCCGAAGAGCGACCCGTAGTGATTTCTATGAGGTTGTTCCAGATGACAATAGATATATGCGATCTAGAGTATTCGGCTGCAATAACGCTTTCCGGTCCAACGATGTGATGGTTTGTTAAGATGAAAGCTAACACCTCGAAGATGCGTATCAACAAATTCAAAGACCGAAAGTCATCTTGAGATAATAGGCTAGCTAACGGCAAGTCATGATCAACATGATAAGCTTAGGAGAGAAGTCTTAGATAGCTCCCTTTTTCCTCTTTTTGCTTTTTGTATTTTCAAAGAAGTCTAGTATCGGCTGGAAATATGAGTTACAGATACACATTATTCAAGACGCTAGCCCCCAACGATATAACTCTGTAGTACATTTTTCCGAATTGATGTGTGGTGTTAGGAACCCGAAATGTAAGAGAGAAAAAATCAGAAAAAAAAACGAATTTTTACGTAGAAACCCTTTGAAATTAGAAAGGAAAAAATTACGGTGCCACCCTAAGGAGTCTTTTCTTTATTAGAGTCGGTTTATAAATACAAGAGGTATCGCCTCAACATATAATAAGAATTTAGGGCATACAAAGCTACAGTAGATATATCCTTGATAGTACTTTCTGCTCTTAGCTTAAAAAGTACTTTCTTCTGTCAAACTACACATCTCCATCAATCTTTCATTTTGAGGCTGATCTTCAAAACGAAATAATCTCTCATAATACTCACTCATCTTTGTAACCTAAACTATCCTAGTGCAGTGGCACCTACTCGTCATTGATCATGGAGGCCAACTGAGGCAATACGCATCCCGAATTTCTTAGTAGCGATGCCCTTGGTAAACATATCTACTAAATTTTTAGCGCCAAAGATCTTCTTTAATAACAATGTCTCATAATCTATAAGTGCGCGATTATGATGTTACTTCAACTACATATGCTTTGTCCTTGAGTGAAATACTAGATTCTTTACAAAACAAATATTTGACTATCACTGAAAAAAATGCTGTTATCTTGCCCCCTGCCTTTCTTTACAAAACTCTTTAACTAAATCATCTCTTTGCCAACTTCAATTATAGCAACAGAATGGTTGAGAGGAACACACAATTTTGAAGTCTTTCATCCAACTGATTACAGTGTTATCTAAGGTAAAAACATAAACCGAGGTGCTCTTTTCCCTTGTCCATGTCAATGCCAAGATCCGCATAGATGTAGCCTTGTAAAGTCACACTTTCTTTCATGCAACAAAGTGTCATACCCGAAATACCTCTCATGTATCTTAATAGTCACTTCACAACTTCTCAATACTTCTTTCTTAGATTAGCCATATATCTACTCATTACTTCCGCTACATGAGCTCTATTTGGTCTAGTATACACCATAAGATACATAAAACTACCGACAGCTGAAGCGTATGGAACTTCAGTCACGTGCTCCCGCTCCTCATCCATCTTCGGTGAGTGCTTCTTCCAAAGCTTGGAGTGACTTCCTAAAGGAGTGCTTCTGCATTTTGCATTATGAATTGCCGAATCTATCCAACACCTTCTCAATGTATTTCTCTTGAAACGACTTTAGAATTCCATATAATCTATCTCGCGTGATCCTCATCCCTAGAATCTGATTTGCTGCTCCCAAATCCTTCATTTCAAACTCTTTTGAAAATTGATACTTTAGTCCGTGAATCTCCTTCATGTTAGATACTGCAACAAGCATTTCATTCGCATACAATAGCAAAATAATATAGCAGTCATCAAATTCATTCAAGTAATAGTTTTGATCCATTTCACATGTAGTGAAGCCATTATTGCACTAAATGTGTCAAATTTCTTGTATCATTGTCTATGAGCCTATTTTAAACTGTACGAGGTTTTTTTCTTTTTTCTTTTTTTTTATGTTTGTAGACATAGTTTTCTTTGCAAGAAATGTAAAAACTTTCTTGTTGCACTATATAGATATCCTCCTGGATGTCACCATGGAGGAATGTAATCTTCATATCTAACATCTCCAAATGTAAATTTTCAGTAATAACAATACTCAACACAGAGCTTATAGCAGTCAACTTAATAATTGAACAGAAATTCTCTCATAGTCAATTCATTTCTTTTATAGAAAACCTTTGACTATGAACATTGCCTTGTCTCTCTTGCTGCATTCAATTTTTCTTTGACTCATACACCCATTTGTCCTGCAATGCCTTCTTCCCATTTGATAACTGAGTTAATACCGAAGTTCTATTCTTCTAGAGTGAGTCCAACTCATCCTACATTGCTCACTCCCACTAAAGAAATTTAACCTGTATTGCTTAATGAAAAGTTCTTTTGATTCGCTAGCATGAGTCAAAAGTAAATAATGAAATGATAGAGAATACATCTATACTTGTTTATAATTTTTGATAGATTTTCTTAAAGTGGGTTGAGGTATAGGTGGTTCTTATTTTGGTTCTTGATCAGAATCTTTGATGACAGTTTTGGATTTCCAATCAAAATATTCTCAGAAAACCCCTCCAATTCAATTGCTCTAGTTCCTTTTATTTGTTCCCTCATGCTATATTCTACAACAGATTTGTCATTGTATAACACGTTTTTATTGAATGCAACATCATTCTTTCTTATTATTTTCTTATTTTATTCATTCCAACGTCAATAAAGAAAAACTCCTTGAACTCCTTGCTAAGATACTCCCCTCCATTGTTAGACGTTAAACATTTAATCTTCCGATCGATCTCATTCTCTGCTTCAGCTTTTATCTTTGAAAAGTAACGAACACATTATATTTATTTTTTAGAAAATTAACCTATACCTTCCTAGTGGAGTCGTCAATAGACGTGAAGTAGTAAAGTGAGCCTCCAAGGGAATACATAATGGCTGGTCCCCTGATATTTGTATGCACCAACTCTAACTTTCCTTTCTTGGGTTGTCTTCTAGTCTTTGAAAAACTGATGCGTTTCTACTTGCCTAGAACACAACCGTCACAAAGACCAATATATATAGACTTCAGATCGGGCAATTTTCTATTTGATGCTAATACATTCATCCACTTTTCCACTCATGTGTCCAAGCCTATAGTGCAAAAATTTTGAATCAACTATTAAGTCAATAGCTGCTACTATTTCTCTGTTGTTTTCAGTCAAATATAGTGTTTTCAATTTTGTTCCCGTTGCTACAACCATAGCACCTTTAACAACTAGGAACATATCTGACATAACGCAGTTTTTATGTGAACATCATCATTCCTCATAATATCCTAAGGTTCATCATCAAGAAGATAAATCTTTTCTAGCTTTCCAACAACAAAATTGTGCATTAATCTTCTACAGAAGTTGAAACTATGCACTTGAATCTAGAATTTAAGACTCAATTGGATTGTCAACGCTCAAAATTAGGGTTCAAAGGTTGCATTAAGAGATTTCTCCTCCTCTTGATTCCAATCCGAATACTGATTTTTGTTCTGTGGGTCTTTGCAATCTCGTTTCAGATGGCCATTCTTTTCACAATTCCAACAAATTATTCATCACAAGGTCTTGATTTGCTTCTTTACACGGACTTCGATCTACCACGATTCCAGTTCTAACCTCGTTGATTGCTTCCCCATTTGTCTTCAATACTCAAGGCAACGTCCGAAAATTCACCTTATTCTCTTTTGCGAATATTCTCTCTATAAATCAAATCTCAGTCTCCTAAAGTTTCAACTTCTTACGACCAGACAAATTGTTCACTGCAATCACAATTGCACTCCAACTTGCAGGTGGAGAAGATAAGTAAATCAAAGCTTTTACTCGTCTTCCAATTTTATTGTCATCGTACTCAACTGAGTCGTGATTATGTTGAAGTCATTAGATGATCTATCACAGAAGCACCTTCGTTCATCTTTAGATTCAGATATACCTTGTTTGCTATCTTGTACAGGTTAGATATAACCCTCATGAAATCGGATGTTGTCTTCTTATTGGCGATGCTAAAGGCAACGTTCTTCACCAACATAAGATGAATCACACCTAGGGATTGCTTATCAACAATCCCCAATCTTCTTGCTCGATCGATTTTGGTTTCGCTTCCAGAGCCTAATGCAAGTCATTTTGATACAGTAGATACTCGATCTGAATCTTCCAGAAACCAAATATACGTCGTCGAACCGATTGATCTTCACCTTCCCTTTGTCCATCTTAATCGCTCTTACAATACCGCCAAACCAAACTTCAATACTAGTTGCTAGGAACATGAAATGTAAAAGAGAAAAAAATCAAAGAAGAAGACACAAATTTTTTTACATGGAAACTCTTCTAAATTTGAAAGGGAAATACCATGGTGCCGTGCCAGACAATCTTTTCACTATTAGGATTGAGTTACAATTACAAGAAATAACGCCTCAAAATATAACAAGAGTTTATGGCATACAAAGTTATGATAGAAATTTCATGTACACCCTTTGGAGTACTTTCCTTTCTCAACTTTAACAATAGTTTCCTCTATCGGGCTCCACAACTCCAATAGTGTGATTCATGGCCAAAATTGATCGGAAAAACTCTCTCGAATCTATACACCCAATCATAGAAATGTTCAGAAAATGCTTGTTTCAATTTGTAAGGATTGGTTAAGTCGTCAAGTGCGTCAAATCGTCTCTTTCTCACGGTAATATCAGGGGTCATTGCCATGTTTGCATGGATGGAGCCTTACTCATCTTTTGGATTTCATGCTGTGTTATGATTGCAAAGGGATAAATTAGATTAATTTATACCTTACCTAAATCAAAACGATTCATATCTGGTTCAATCCAAGCGGAAAGTATCTTATACACGACTTTTACAATGCTGAAGTAGAAAAATCAAATAAATTTAAGCAATTTGTAACACAATGATTGAGCGGTAGAGATGAGAATCAATAATTTGAGTCATAAAGCCTACAAACCCTAGTTGATTATATCACTATTAATTCTATTCAATATACTGGAATATTTCAACATTTTTTATTTTTCCAGACATTGGTCGCCATCAGTGAAGTGACCAGGCAGATCTTGAATGAAGACCCACACTTCTCCGACATCAAATCGCCCGTCGACTACACTCGATTCTTGGTGATTTCGCTCGGGACAGGCTCGGACACGTCTGAGATCAAGTTCAACGCCAAGAAGGCCTCAAAGTGGGGGTTGTTCTGCTGGTTGTACCAGGACGGCACGAGCCCTTTGATAGACGTCTACTCTCAAGGGAGTTCCGATATCGTCGATTACCACAATTCCGTGGTCTTCAAGGCCTACCAGTCCGAGAACAATTACCTCCGTATCAACGTAAGATTTTCACTAATTACTCCGTCTTTGCTTTAGTCGCGCGCGTGTTCCCGAAATGTCTTCTTTTTGTGCCCGCCATAGGCAGAGAAAATCGTTTCCATGTAGGCAGGCTGTTAGGAAATTGACATGAATGCGGTTAATATGTAGAAATCATCAAGATCTTTATGGATAGTTAAAAATTCAATCAAAAAACTTAAATTAATAAGTCAAGGGAGACCACATGTACATAACGAGCATATAAATAGGGAGGGAAGTATAAATTTCATATAGATGGCAATGTGACATATTTTAACACTCTCTCTCACGTGCAGGCCTATTTATGAACGACACGTGATTCTGATACAATGTTAGAAAATTCTAACACAAAAACCTAAACTAATATGCGGAGAAAGACCGCATGTATATAAAGAGCATATAAGCTCTGTTCACAAATGACGTGGGACATCTCATATATGTTGAGAAAGCATATAATACAAACTATCACAAATAACCTCCGAATTCTTTTGTTGTGATTTCTATTAATCTACACTTGGTACTAACTCAAGCTACTAGAATTGAATGAATTGCTATAGGATGACACCCTAGAGGGGACTTTATCTTCGGTGGACACATCCACGAAGGAGAACTTGGAAGGTCTGGTGAAAGTTGGTGAGCACTTGTTGAAGAAGCCGGTCTCGCGAGTTAATGTTGAGACCGGCCGCTACGAACCCATTCTGAATGCTGGCACCAACGAGGAAGCCCTCAAAAGGTAAATTTTTTTGTGCGTAAATGTTTCTCATACGATAAAGTCCTTCGGAAAATTGTAGCACTTTGAGATTTGTTTTCTTTGATTATCATCGAAAATGCTGATTAATTTTGGTCTAAACTCTTCCAGGTTCGCTACGCTTCTATCCGACGAGAAGAAACTCCGCGAGTCGAGATCTCCGCATGACAAGCGTGGGGAATAGTTCGCTCAACCATACTCATGCCCTATTAACTTGTGAAATGATGATATAAATCATCTGTTGTTGAATTAGAATAACCATTAGCCCTATGTGCTTGCGAAAAAAGGGGCTACAGTCTACATTGTTTGTGTGTGGATAGCTAGAGTTCAAACTCCTTATGATGCACCTAGTTAGGCATTTACATGATGGGCTAGGCCGGAGGAAATTCCCCCCAATCACCCTCTTGATCGATCACGTTCGAATTTAACCCACCAATCAAATGGATGAATTCGAGGAAATTTCCTTCAACCGGGTTACTGGGGTTTGAAAACATTACCCTTACAGGATATATATATATATATCTCTAGAAAATAGCAAGTTACGAACCTCTATTAACTTAAATTGTTAGCTTGTAATGAGAAAATACTCATCGTTTTTTAGTGATCGCCTGTCTCTCTCTTTTTTATAAGTGATTATTTATAAAGAAGGAAGCACCACAGTCGACTGCATGGGTAAATTGGTTAAAAATCCTCTCGCCACTTACATATCAAATTCAAGCCAATTATAAGTGCAGAAGGCATTATGTAAAGCTATTACTTGTAATGGCCTGAACACTTGGCCGTCGAATTCAATTTCAATCGAAAAATCTGCCTGATCTGTGAGGGTTTCTGGGTCGTTTCCTAAGGTCAGACTCGCTAGAGTGTGTACGCCAGTTTCTTGTTTTCTCTTGTTACTTTTTGAATCTTTTTGTTCTGTTTAGGATTATTTTCAGATTTTGTCGGGTCTCCTACGATTAATAGTATACTGTATGTTACGACATATTGGTCAAACGACTTTTGTTCACGTTCCGTTTCAGAGAATCAATCGCACAGTTTTCTCTTTGTTTAGTATTATCTATATTCGAGCTTAAGAAGCAATTTGAGTACGAATATAAGACTTTTTGACATATACATAGAAAATTATCTATACTCTTATGGCCGTCAGTTGTGTTAAATTATATTTCTAGTTCGAGTATGTGTACGGAACCCGACCCGAATTGGGGATGTAGATCAGTCCGTAATATATTAACAATTTCGAAAGTGTGGCGATTACGGGAAGAAGTCGTGTAAGTTGCTCAGAATTCTTTTGACCGAACCTATTTGGAAAAAAATCGCAACACCTCCCTTTCCTATTTGGCTAAAAATTCTTCTTGAAGGCCACTTCTACGTGATATATATATAGGGAGATGTGGTCATTGGTTCTTTTATGGCTCCTTTTAGCCGCACATCAGTAGCTTGAACATGGTGATTTTGTGCGGATAGTTTTAAATCCAAATTAGGCGTTTTCTTCATGTAGACGTGAGTGTTTCAAGTTGCGAGGTAATTCTCCGTGTTTTAATTTATAGAGCAATTATGTGAGACTAAACATTTTGAGTATGAGTGTAATATAAGTTTAAGAAACACTTGAGCGCTCAAGCGATAATTCTGTCATTCTCTAATTTTTGTTGATCGCTGTGAGTTTCTAATTCATTAGTGAATTATTTGTGGCTGGCTCTTGTTGAGTAAGTATCGATACTCAAACCCAACCAAGTAAATCTCTTGTATCCTTTATTGTTCCTTGTGAACTTCTCTAGTAATTTTGTTCTTTGGTGCTTGACTTGAATTGCATGATTGGTAGCTTCTATATTATTTTATAATAATTGGTGCCAAAGCCAAGGCTGGGATTTTTTGGATTTTATTTAGGTATTTTTCTTTTCTGATCACCGTTTGGAAATCCTGTTGTTAAAATTATGTTTGCCGCTAATGAAGAAATGGATAAGTTTAAAGGAAGGAACAACTTTAGTTGTGAAGTGTTAAGATGACATATGTGATTAACAACCTAAGATTTGGCTAAGCCATTGGATGGCAAAGATAATTTGCTGGCTAGGATGAAAGACACTGATAAGGATGAGCTAATGGAGAGAGCAAATAGTATACTCGTATTGAACCAATTGGATGAAGTATTAGTAGAAGTGGCTGAGGAGAAGGTTGCTGCAAAGTTGTCTTGCTATGTAATGAAGGGTTTAAACAATCGCCTATAAATGTTGAAGAGCATGTTTCAATTTCGATTTACTGAAGGTACTTCCATAAGAGCCAACTTAGATGAGTTCAACAAAGACATAATGGATTTGAAAAACATTGATGAGGTCCTTACTCATGAGAAATAGGGCATGATGTTATTGGCCTCTCTACTAGAGTCATGTGAGTACTTTACTTGCTCACTGTTATGGGGGCATACTATGGTTATCTTAAAAGAGGTAAAATTTGTCTTGCTCTCTAAGGAAAGGCAAAGGAAGTTGCAAGTTAACGGTCTAGCACAAAATATAACGCAAGGAATAGTGATTGGAGGTAAAGATGAACATCTAGAATCCAGCAGCAAAGACAAATAGGTTGGAATCGTGCAATAGAAAGTCCAAAGGATCTCATAAAGTGCTTTGAGTGCCATGAAGAGGGGTACATAAGGAAGATTGTCCAAAGCTGAGAAATAGGGGTGGTGGTACGTAGAATGCCTTAAATGGGGTGGCGAACGTCGCCAATGAAAGCACTAGTTGATGTGAAGACCATCTTGTGTGTGATCATCACCTTGTCAAAAGATGAATAAGCGCTAGAGTCAGGATTTTATTTATCATGTGACCCCTTATAGGAACTGGTTTACTATTTAACAGGCTAAAAATGGTGGTAGAGTTCTGATAGGGAATAAGGCAGCCTCCAAGGTTGTAGAAATATGGATGATTTAGATTTGAAAGCACAATTATATAGAGCGCACATTGACAAACGGGAGGTATGTATCGGAGCTCCACACGAACCTTATTTCTTTTGGGGATATTGATGACATTAGATGTAAGTACATACTGAAGATGGAGTGTTTAAGTTTTCTGACAATGCCATGACACTAATAAAGGGGAAGAAGGTGAATTCTCTATATCATCTACTAAGAAAGACCGAGACAAGAGTTGATGCAGTTTCATCAGGTAAATCAAACTCAAACTTGACTTAGTTTTGACATATGAGGTTGGGGCACAAGAGTGAGGTAGGTATAACGACATTGAGTAAAAAGGGATTGTTGAAAGGTCAGAAGATAGGAAGCTAGACTTGTGTAAGCACCACATCTTTAGGAAGCAGCATTAGATTAAATTAAGTATTGCTATGCAATCGACCATGCAACTGGTTGATTACATTCATTCAAATATTTGACGCCCATCTCCAATTCCTTAAAAAGGAGGCGCCCAATTGTTTCTAATATTCATCGACAATTAGTGGATGAAAGTATAGGTATACTTTTTGAAGAACAAATCCGAGGTGTTTAATCGGTTCATAAAGTCTAAGGCGGTGATTGAGAAGCAGTCAGATAAATAAATCAAGTACATTCGACAATGGCATAGAGTTATGTAATAATGATTTTACAGAGTTTTGCTAGATTGAAGGGATTGTGAGACGCGACACTGTGCCCAGAACACTACGGCAGATGGTGTTGGTAAAGCTAAGATTAGAACTCTTCTTGAGCTAGCTTGATGCATACTTTCACATGAAGGAATTGGCAAGCAATTTTGGGCCGAAGCCATGAAAGATGGTTTGTTGCATGGTTAATCCACCTCCATTATCTATCCTCAAGTGGAAGACTCCAGAAAAGTGGAAGACTCCAGAAGAAGTATGATCAGGTAAACTTGTTGACTACTTAGATTACGAGTATTCATCTACGTATGCTCATTGGAGTGATGGTAAGTGTGACATTCTGAAATTCGACCCATTTTTAGGATTTATGAAATGAATACTTCTTCGATGCACTTTCAGTAAAATCTCACTCGGAAATTGATCACTCTCGAGATACTAACCGTTAGGGAAAGGCTAGCTAGGAATTAAGTACGTGGACCTAAGAACTTGGTCATGGATTGCACTTCGATCACAAGGATTGACGAGGGAATATTTTGTGCCATTATAGACCGATCCAAGGATGGCTATGGAACGATTCGCAAATCTTATACCATCGGAATGCGGGTGATTCCACTTAACCATTGTATGAGTTTCGAACGATCCTAAACCTAATCCGAAATATTGTGTCCTTCGGAACTAGTAATTGACCATCGCAATTACATGACAACCGAGGTCGCCATGGCTCAAGTAAACTTGGATGTGGCTCGATGTCATCGGCCACGTGTCGATACGCGTAACTCTTAAAAGCCGCCTGTTAGTTTAAGATACACTAAAGTCGCGATTGTTGGATTTTGGCCATTAATTAGAATCCGAATTGGGATGTCGAGTTTTCAAGATTTCCACGACTAATTTATCGGACGTCGTCTCATTTAGCGTGGCCAACTATCGGATCGATTAGAATTATCGGAAAATCGAAATTTGGACCGGGAGTGGAAAAAGACCATTTTGCCCTTGGGTTAATTGAGCACTTTTGAAATATTGAAGGGCAATTCGGACAATTGCATTTCCCTCCATAAGCGAAAATTTGGACAAGAATGCCCTCTCTCCTTTTTGCTTATTCCTTAATTGCCCTAGGATATTTTCCCCATCTTGCATTAGAAGACTCAGTTGTGGCCCTTGGATGTCTTGATTTGATTGTAGTTCAATCTTGGCCATTGATAGGCTTTTAGAAGTCATCTCACATCACCCTTGTCTATCACTCTCACCCTCACTCTTGTCACTCTCTCTCTCTTCTCATTCCCGGAATTCTCTCTCTCTCTCTCCCTCTCTTTCTCTTCTCCTCCCCGGAACTCTCTCTCTCCCCCTCCTTGGAATCGGCCGAAGCTCCAAGCACCATCACCTCTGTCTTGCTTCTCCAGTTCAGACGCCACTGTTGACACGTAAATTTCGGCACATCATTTAGTGGTTAATTGCATAGAAAATTAGGGATTAAATTTTAACCCCTAAACAAAAATATTAAAATTGCATAGCATATAGTTTAGGTTCATATAGATTAATTGCATTCCTCATCGGATTGGCGGTGGTAAGCGAGCTTAAAATTCATCACGTAAATCGAGCTCGGGCACCGAACGAGACTCGGCTCACTCGGAAAGCATGGGCCGAAAATCACACGCAAAAGGGCTTGGTTGTCTTAATTTGAGCTTAAATTAGCCCATTATGCTTAATTAAAGAAAAGCCCAAATTAATTCAGCCCACTTAGAATTAAATTAAAGCCTAAACCTAAGCCCATTTGGACTAAGTCCGCGTTCAAGAAAATTCTTGGCCAAGCCATGAACATTATAAGAGCCAAAATTTTCATTGGAAAATATCGAGTTGGAAAATATTGGTTTATTAATCTTGATATTATCACGATTCAAATGGAATGAATTGATATTATCACAGAGATATTACAATATTTTCTTTGAATCAAAATAGGAAGTAATTGCAAGCAAAACCCTAAACTTTGCCTATAAATTCAATAAGAAATCGTGAAAGAGGGGGGCTTTTTCTTTTGGAGG